CACAACGCGCAACGTCCCAAGAATTATTTATGCCGACTTTGAGAAAGACTCGCGCGAGAACGAACCGGTCGCATCCGCTGCGAGCGTGAATCGTTTAAAGAATCCAATCCTCCAGCTCTCGGTGCGCATCCGGACCATTTACAGCGGCCAAAGGTCCGTAGATGAACCTGCGCTCTTTCAGGCGGTTGCAGTTGCCACGAATCTCATTTTTCGCTCGCGAAAAAGTCGTTAATCATTAACGCCATTCATTCAAATTGAATGCACAAACGCTATTGTTCGTTCCAAAAAATATAAGATCTGTTTATATGTAGCTTTATCGACGAGTTCACAAGTGGACTCAAGGCGTGATACTTATTGAATAATATTCGACATGTATAGAAGCGCGGCTATTTAGTAGCTGCGTTTTACCCGCGCACAATCTGAACGTACACCGTCACATGCTATTATCTATCCATTATGAACCTCGCGTACTATCGCGGACAAAAAAGGAAGAGCGATATTAACTATGATCGGCTTGCCTATGGGACATAAATTGACCAACGTCATCTCCACGTGTGCGAGGAGATCGCGCGTTGGCGACTTTGTCCGATGACAATTTTTGCGTCGTATCCGACACACTTCGGTCGCCAATAAATCCGGAGATTTATCGAATAGCGGCCGATCGACACAATCGGCCTCGGCATGTATACGTGCGTATTATCACGAGCGCGAGTGATCCCTTTCGGCGCGCAAACTTTGCGCGGCGCAATGGGTCCGCACTTGTCAGATAGGATATCGGCTTTATCGGCGATAAACCTCCGCAATTAGTGATTTTCTCGTCCAATACGACTGCATCGATTCTTGGACTTAAAAGCTGTCTCTTCATCCGCTGACCCTATTCCTTGCAGGAATTCCTCGCACAGGGAGAATATACACTTTCCGGCAAAAAAAAGAAATCCCGATATCTAACCATAAAAGTCGTGCAAATCAGAGGCTAACATGCATCGTTTAGAATAATGTAAAGAGGTAATAATTGGATTATGGCTTGTGTTTGCGCCCCTTGAGAATGAGCTTTGAGATGAGTTCTTGGCGGGTAAATTCAAAGTTCGAGCATTTGCCCCACGCACAAGTTCAAATAAGAAGACGATAACGATTTATTACACTAATGAGATCATAGACTGAGAGTTCAATTTGTCGATGCGATTCGCGGCACGTACTCGTGTCCAATTAACGCACTAAGTACCGAGGGCGGAGCTAAACAAACAAATTGTTTGGAGTTGACTTTAGGTTAACATTGCCAAATGATTCGCTTCTCCAAGACGACACGGACTTCCTCAAATCACCCCTAAAGGGGTGATCGCCACCTGTAGTGCTGATCGCAGGACAGAAACATGAAAAACATGCGAGAATCGAATTATGTCCACGTGGGAATTAATTGCTAATTAATTGCTCCGAGAAGAATATAATTTCAAATTTTTTGCACAACCCCTAAGGTGGTAGGCCAACCCCTCTTAAGTCACCCCAGCATGGCTACGTAAGAAATGGGAGAATCAAACTATTTCTTCGCGTGGGAATTAATAGCTAATTAATTGTTCCGAGAAGAACCAATATCTTCGTAAAAATACAATTTTCAAACCTACATTAATTAGCAATTAATTCCCACGTGAACAAATAGTTCAATTCTTCCATTTTTTACGTGGCCATGCTGGGGCGACATAGGCGAGGCTGGCCTTAGGGGTTGTGCAAAAAAATCGAAATTAGGTTCTTCTCGGAGCAATTAATTAGCAATTAATTCCCATGTGAAGAAATAGTTTCATTCTCCTATGTTTTTCATGTTTCTGTCCTGCGATCATCACTAGGGGTGGCGATTCACCCCTTTAGGGTTAAGCAAAAAAATTGAAATTTGGTTTTTCTGCGAGAAATTAATTAGCAATAAATTCTGGTATATAATTCATCGATGAACATTTACTTAATAGTTATTTCTTATTGTGGCAGTGCTAGCTTTATATAAAGCTGACATCCCTACCATTTTTCGGAAAAGTATAAGAGCAAAAAATTATTTTTTCGTGCAACACAATAGCAATGAATTAGCAATAAATTTTGCAACAAATTTTATTGAATTGTGCTAAAGTGGCAATTCCAGTTTTATATACTTCCTGCTAGCCATACGATACGCTTTGGAAATGCGTCGCCATGACAGATCCTGAAGCGACCACGTGGAAATCACCCTAGTCGGGGTTATAGATCCCAAGTCCATTCTTTAACTATTTTTGACCACGTGCAGGGCACGCTTTCTCGAAAGAGTGATTTTTAACCACGTACAGGACACCCTTTCGAGAAATCGTGTCCTGCACTGTCCACGACCAAATGTTGCTTAAATGTGCTTCAAGTTGCATCGCTCCAATCAGATGATTCAACAGTCTGAAGAATAATTGTTATTACCGAGATACACTCCTTTACTCAGTTCAACGATACGTGATTACAGGATATGCACAATTATGACCCTTAGTTTTTGACGAGCAGTGCATCTGTAAACAGTTTCTTCAAAAAGTGACATATCTGTCTACCTTGTATATTTTTCATATTACCTTGTATATTTACAAGATATTGTTCACCCTTAAATATAAACATACTGAAAAGGTGCGAGCGAAGATATGTATCTGAATTAAAAAAAAAAAAAAAATAGAAAAAAAAAACAAGGAACTGAATGCAAAGAAAGAACATGGATAACTTTCAATCAAACGATTATTATCTCACTGTTTGTCTAAATTACTACACGGCAAAGTACACTTGTACTTTCTGTCGCCTCTGTATGGTACTAACCGTAACCTGCATTGTTTAGTCAAAAGCTTCGGAGACGGTCAATTCTTATTGTCCGTTTTGCAAGTTCCTCACGGCGTTGATGTAATTCCCTTTGCGGAATTATGCCGGATTTCGTCGTGACACGTTCCAGCAGATCTCTGCCGAATGAATATTCCATCGTATACAACGCGGACACGCGTGTACAAGCCTTCGTGCACGTACGCTCGTACATGCGTGTGCAAGCCTTCGTGTACATGCGCTTGTACATGCGTGTGTACATTTGCGTATGTACACGGTACATAGAGAGTACATGCGCCCTCGCTCGAAAACGTTTCGCTCGACAGAGTTCTCCGTCACGTTATTTTACCTATCGTTTGACATTAATTTAACCGTACGTTTGAACGTCCATTCGTCAAATGAATGTAGAAAGGTTCTCTGAGCGATTTCTCTTTCTTTGTCATTAATCAGAAAAATCCTGCAGATACCCTAGTAGCACGAAATATTTCTCCTATATTTTCTACATATTTAACGAATATCGTATATTTTGTAAATATTTAGCAGACATTTTAAATATTTGCCAAACGTTTACTTTAAAATATTATCCCTTNAACGAAAATATTAGAAAAATTTCTCGTGTTTTTTTATACCAAATGAAGTGTCCGATAATAGTCGTGAAGTAAAAAATGTATTTTTCTTATGTTAATAAGTTAAAAAGTATTTCTCTATATGTTTATACATTATTGAAACTAAATATATCGTTGAGATTTTCAACAAATATTTCAAATATCTTCGATTGAAATCTACAAGAAATCTTGAAAAATCTGCCGCTTGAGATATTTAGCAAAGATTACAAAGAAATATTTAGACATTATTCTATGCTACTAGGGTAGTTAAAGACTTTTAAGCAGAAAAGGGAAAACGTGCACCGAAGATATGTAAATAATAAGCGAATAGACCAGCCAGCTCCGTCAGAGCCATCAGACCGGTGTTGTCTAATGATAGGGCAAACTGCTTACAGTTGATGAATAATTCAGCTGACGGTTGATAATGATGACCAGGTATCGGTTATCTATTCCGCTCTACGCACGTTTCGTCTTGACACAATTTCAAAAATAGAGCTACAGAAGTCAAAGAAGGAAATCGTTCGTTTCTGCCATTGGCCTCTTCCAGATTATTAACATCAATTTAACGTTAATGGATTATTTCTAAATATCGATAATGAATAATATCGGCACGATGTATCTAAACTATAACATTCTCCTACTAATGAGAAGTCATATCAATTTTCATTCGTTCGTTTTACAAAATAAATTTATAATATTAGCACACCCGTCGCCGTTTCGTTCGCTATATGTGAAAGTAGAATTCGAAATCGTAATCTTGGGATTAACACATTTACGCCGTGTACCACCAGTGGTACATCTGAGGGGCAAAAACAATAGTTGAACATTTACGCAAGCGTCAACGTGTCCTAACTTCTAAAATCCAACAATTTTTAAGCCGCGAAAGGCAAAATCAGCCAACAGCTTGAATATATAATTAAGGTGAAGTGAAACACATCGAGGAACTTGGTCGACGACGATAAAGAAGATTTTTCTAAATGCCTACGTGCCGACGTTTGTTTTTATATTCACAGCTGGGTCGAATTATATTCGACATTGTACAAAATGGCATACGCCACCTGTCGTTTTCGTACAATAAATATCAAGAAATCGAAGTAAAACTCCCGAAATCCTCTGGATTCATGCTTTCTGGGGCCCTAATTGACTGCAGAGGGACTCCCTGCGCCATCTGCGATTTCTAGGTGAATTAAATTTTCACTATGAGACCTCGTATTCCCATGGTTTTAGCATAGAAGGGCATACAACACTTTTTTTGCCTCTATCTCGTTCAAATGCGAGTTTATCGATTACCAGAGTATTCTAAATTGTCGTAAAATTGTCCTGACCCTTTCGTTTCTCATATCGAAGCCTTCGATAATTGTATATTGATCGAAATATGAGAGCTCGACGTCACTTTGGTTCTGGTTTGGGCTGAGATAAACAATTTTCTTGAAAAATCCAAATTTTGAATGTGTCAGGACAATTCTTAGATGATCAGTAGTCATGTGTCAAAGTTTCGGACAGTTTGGGCCAATACCCTTAAAGAAAAGTGTCGTATTCGAATTGACTGATTTGAAAGGGATTTCACTTCACTTTAACTAAAAGTAATTCACTTACCATTTTTTTTCGAGCCGTTCTTGTTTTTCTTGTTTTTTGGATAAATATTGCCGATCTTGCTCTGACCACAACCCATCCTGACCGCTACTTCCTCGGTGGTTGATTTCTCCTTCGACCTCGCTTAATTTTGCCGGACTTAGCCGAGCAGAGGGTCGAATGAAGTCACATTCTCGAAATCGTCATCCGCGTCTTGGCTCCTCGAAATCTCAATTCCTGCTCCTCTGTAATCGGCTTTATTTTTTGCGGCACTCTCGCAATTCTTGCTCCTCGCCGATCGTTCGAACTTTCCCCGCGATTACGGTTCCCGCTGAGTAATAATCCTTTCAATGTTTCGATAATCGTTACTCTTCAATAATGAGCCCGACGTTTCTCTCACAGGCGCATCAAGATTTCCCGTATACGTGCGCTCAAGAGTAATTAGATCGAGGTCTTCTCAGTTATTATTAAAATTTGTCGGTGACCAGCCTGATATTCGATCAGGCTGACAATTATTGTCCTCCGATAACCAGTTGAACGTTTATTGCGCTGGCAATTGTCGTCCTTCGATTATCCGCTCGGCATTTCTCTCAGTCGCAATTTCTGTTCTACTATTGTTCTCAAGATTGCGACTCGTCAACGCCCAGTCCGAAGTTTACCAGAATGTCAACCGTTACTTCCTAGCAACCAGTTTCTTCCGTAATCGTAATTTTTGTCCTCGCGATTATCGATAATCGTCAATAGCCAACTTGACGTTTGTCACGATGACGATGACTTCTCGACGATTGGCTTAACGTTTCCCAGGCAGTCGCGATTCTTGCGTTTTCATCGACGTCTTCTCGAATTCTAATTGTCACACCTTAACAATCAGTTTGACGTTTGTCTCGATAACAATTGTCGCTCCACGATGATTAGCAACGTCGCCCTGACAATCACGATTATTGTACTTTCTTCTCGACTACGATTTGCGCGCAACAATTGTTGACTCAACGTCTCCTCGACTTCTAATTGTTGCTCCTCGACAATCAGTTTGACGTCCGTTTTAATAACAATTGTCGCTTTTCGACGACTAGCTCAATGTTACCATGACAATCCCAATTCTTCTACTTTCTCGGGATCTTTTTGAATTCTAATCGTTACACCTCAACAATCAGTTCGATTTTTGTTTTGTTGACAATTGTCGCTCCCTGACGATTAGCTCAACAATGCCCCGATAATCGCGATTCTTTCAGTTTCTTCTCGATTCCAATCTACGCTCAGCACTTATTGACTTCTTGTACTTTCTCGAGATTTTTTAGAATGCTAATCGTTACACCTCAAAAATCAGTTCGATTTTCGTTTTGATGACAATTGTTGCTCCCTGACGATTAGCTCAACAATGCCCCGATAATCGCGATTCTTTCAGTTTCTTCTCGACTCCGATCTGTGCTCAGCACTTATTGATTCGACGTCTCCTCGAAATCTAATAGCGACTCCTCGACAACAGGCCGAGCATTCGTCGCGATGCCAATTGTTGTTCCTCGACAACTGTCCAGACGTCTCCCGGGTAATCGCGATTGCCTCGACTCAAGGAGCAATTCGACGCTCCTCGAGCTAGGAGGACATGCGAGGAAAGGCTTGACTCGTTCGCTTTCTTCGAGCGAGTTCGGCCAGGTCGAATCGAATTCGTTTCGGCGATCTTCTGTCAGAGGCGGCGACTCCACCGGTTGTTCCCCCTGTGAGCGAGGCAACGTGCCAGAGCTCTCTTTGCGCGGAGAAAACGACGTCGGCGCACTTATTCCCTTTTAAAAGAATACCACGGGGTCGTTTCCCCTTTGTGAAAAATAAGGTTGACGTTAACTATCTCTCTTTACAGGAATGCGGCCGCGCCTCCTCTCTTTGCGGGAATATTAAATCAGGGTATTTATTCCCTTTGAAGGAAAACAACGCGCCCCGGTGTGCGTTTCTTCTCGTCGCGAGACGTTTACGTGCTCGTCCTGCCGCGGCGGAATAACGCGTTGATATATTTATTCCCCTTAGAAGAATAAAGCGCGCCAAGAGTAATGGTTTTCGCCGCGCGAGAGTAATGGCTTGTAGGGTACCGAGTCTCTCTTTACAGGAATACAGCGCGCGCTCGCGTACTCGCGTATGACTCGCGCGAGTGCGTTCGCCTCGCAAATATCATTCGCGGTCTTAAATCTTCTATTCTATGTATATATTGTACACGTCCGCCGGTTCTCGGCTGCGTCGATATCCACGCGATATGCTTAGGGCGATATAGCGGTTCCTCTTTCGGTGATATGGCCAAAGGGATATACGTGAACCTTTATGTATACGTGTACATGTATACGGCAGAGTTGGTCCGTTTGAAAGGGCGATCAATTTATCGGGCAGAATCACTCTGGCGATATCTCCTCCACCGTGATATTCCCTCCTACGGTATAAATTGGGATATCCTTCTCCATTTCGTCCTTGTACTCCACCCCGGCACGCTTTCTCGACCTATCTTATAATCTACAAATGGTTGGCATGTCCCCTTCTTAGTTTTTTCCTTCGGATTTTCTTTTCCGCCGCAACGATTTTCCACTTGGCTCTTCCGGCTCTCAGCTTCCAGCAACGTGGATACAAATCCTTCCCGGTATTCTTTTATCCTCTCCTTCTCCCCGATACTTCTCCTTGTACGTTAAGAACTCGGAAAGATTTTTAGAATTTCACTCCCGTCTCTTCGGAAATTCCGTCCAATGTACAAATTTCTACAACCTGGAGACTCGGTTTTTGGCCTTGCTATACAAATTAGGGCCTTTCTTCTCTTCCCTCGACTCCGTCCTCTTTCTACTGTACAGATTTGCGGGATATGTGTACTCCAAGGATGGACTCCCAAGAGATGCCGCGTATAACAGAGATTATCCAGGCAACACGATTCGCCGGAAAGGCTGACTGTCCCCTTCAGGCTATCCGGATCGAGATGGCCAATCCATCCTCGGGATTCAGTCTCGCGGTTTTCTCCTCATCATCGAAACACCGAACGATCACCTACCCCATGTCAAGGCCGGCGACGATTGCATGGCAACCCTCTTCGAGATACATTCGCCCAGCTTTCGTCTTGTCGCAACCCCTTGTGAACAACTTACTCCGTCCCTACCCGGCCATACGACCTTCCGCCATGTTCATTTTCCCAGTTAGACCAGACACCTCGATTCTCAAGCTCCCCTTCGGCTAAAAACCCTCCACTCTCGGATTGGACAAGATACTCTAAAACGAAAGTCGAGGGATTTAAGGTGCTCCGAAGTCGTTCCCGCGGTTGGCACTCCCAGCGAAGTTATGGATTAACCAACGATAGCTGCCCAAAGGCGCTGACGAGTTTGGCAGGTCCAAAAAGTCAGCTTTAGAATGGACATACGCAAAGGGGAATACGATGGGAGGAGAATCATCGCGTGGATACACCTCGGGGCCACATAATTCTCCCCGCATCAGCCCCGTTCCTTCCGCATCATGCCGCCCTTGGCATGGAATTAGAGCAATTTCGGAGCGATCTTAAAGGTGTCCAAACACCTCTACCGACGTCTCTCGGCTCTAGGGTACTCTCTAAATCTACGGATCTCTCCAATGGGCATGGAGAATCCTTCCGTTTACGTTTCCTCGTTCGCTGAGTCTAAATCGAAGCTCGGAGTGGTCTGCGTAGAGGAAGTCGGCGGTTCTCCGGACTTCGGACCGAAAAACCGAAAGTCCTCTTCTCACGTCCAGACTTCTCGGGGAATTCTCCCGATGGCTCTAAAGCGTTCCTCGGAACGTCGACCAGGGATCCATTGAACCGGGTTTAATTTTATTTTGGCAGCGAGAGTTCTCGGGCAGTCTTCGAGTGGCGGTGGAAGCGAGGCATCCAGAAGGGGACGGGCGGCGAATAAACGGAATCGCCTCTTCAGGAGTCTCAAGGTGAACGTTGCTTGTTCTCCCGACCCGGTGCTGGGAAACAAGCACGGAAGTACAGTCCGGGTCTCGTTTGCGTGGGCCCTCCCTCGAGGAGGGGCAACCCACGGGCTCTTATCGCGAGTATTCCCGCGTCTCGGAGTGTGCCGAGAACGCGAGAGAATTCCCGCGCCCCGAGCGATAATGCTATTGATCTTCACCCGGCGAAAGCTCGACGTCGAAGACTCTTCTCGGGCCGCTCTCGGCGATTTACGGGGACTCCGTATCGGCGATCGATCGAGGCCTCCGTTCTCTCGAAGTCGCTAGCTGGAAATCCGGCTTTTCTCTCTTTCTCTCGGAAAGGGTCCGAAATTCTCTTCTCGACTCCCCGATCAACGGCTGCGGACGTAATTTAAAATTTAAAAACTCATCGAACCTCCCGCTCCACTCCTGACTCCTACTCCTTGCTTAAGACAATCCCCGGTTCCCCTTCCGGTTTATTTCGGAAACTGCGTTCCGGTCGCGCCAAGGGGACCTTGCCACTTGTCCGCTCGTCCTGTTCCTCCTCGTTCCTCGATTTAACCCTTCCCAGAGGTGTTGCACCGAAAACGTGAAAATTTCACCTCTGCGGATTGAACACGTTATTCAACGGGTAAACGACTCTCGGGGGATTCTTTTTAATAGCGGTTTCGAATCGTTTGAACTTCAACTATCACTTGACCGGTAGTCGTTTAAGAGGGGGAGGCTCTCGCAAATGGGAGCGAAGTTGGCATTCGCGTTAAAGATTTTCTTAAAAAGTGCCTCGTTACCCTGTTACGGAGTTACGTCGCGCATTTTGCCACGGCGAGAGTTTCCTTTCGGCGGTTTCAGATTTTTACAGCGACGAATGTCGGATAAATGCCGATCCAGGAGAGTCCGCGAGGGCACCTGCTGCCCGGCTCGGCTCTGCCTTACCGACGGGGTCCCTACCTCCGACCGATCGGTCGATTAATCGTTCACTACATTCGGGTCGAGATCGCGATCGGATTTGCCGCGAGGGAACACGATCGACGATCTGCCGACGTGTGCTCGCGCGAGCGCGCGGTCATGCGTGGGCACGTCGAACGAATGCAATCCGCGACTAAATCAAACGCGCGCGGTACGTCAAGACCCTCACAGCTCGAGCTTCCGGCATCGACTGGCCGGGGCGCCAGCTGCGGCGCGCGCGTGCGCCGGCCGCCATGACACTACTCTCGCTCGATCTCGGCCAATGAGAAGCGGCGACTGCGCTGCGCGCGCATCCTCGCGTTCGAGAGCCGTGCGTGCACGCACCTTACCGAGTGACTAGCGTTTCGGGAGATAAACCCTGTAGCGCGTATTACACGATTGGCGAGACACTAATTCAACGTGTAGAAATTGCTCGCACCCTTCTCGCAATCGCGGGAAGAGATTTCACCGTAGCAGAAAAGTCGCGGGAGACTTTCGTTTCTGGAGCATTAAAAAGAAGTCCTGGTTAATGTTACTAAATTCGCCCGGTTAAAAGATCTCTAGTTATCGTTAATTAAGAGAATCTGATCGATGTGACTAGAATGTTCTGCTTACCGAAGTCTGATTGGATACATCTTAATCAGATTTCTAAACGATTAGATAAGTTTCTAGGAGAAAAGTCTTGTCTTTCTAATCAGAAATCCTCTTTGAATGTGGAATAAAAAGAATTATTCACGCAACTGGATAATCTTCGACTAGAAATACCTGATACTTATGACCAGAAATATAGTAAGGGCATATTTAACGATCTAATCCTGTTATAATAACCCGAATTCTGGTTCTTTTGATTCGGTATTTTTTTAAGAAGGGGGTTTAATTTCGGAGGGGAATTAAAGGAAACGTATTTATAGCTATTAAGTCATATGTCAAGTTATTTTGAACCTTTCAAGTTTTTATTTTAACGGTTTGATTCTTCTTCGGGCTCTAATCGAAAGTCTTACAGTACCCTCGACAAGAAAGAGATTGACGAGGTACTTATTTCGCTGTTTCAAAAATGGCTGAAAAAATGAAGAATGCAGTTAAGTTGGAGGTTTAACCTGGAACTGAGTTCATGGATTATTCGAAATCATTTGGCTAGATCACCCGAGACATCTCTTGATCCTGTCTCTCTACTCCCTAGTAGCATAGAATAATTTCTAAATATTTCTTTGTAATCTTTGCTAAATATCTCAAGCGGCAGATTTTTCAAGATTTCTTATAGATTCCAATCGAAGATATTTGAAATGTTTTTTTGAAAATCTCAATGACATATTTAGTTTCAATAATTTATAAACATAAAGAGAAATACTTTTTAACTTATTAACATAATAAAAATACATTTTTTACTTCACGACTATTATCGGACACTTCATTTGGTATCAAGAAACACGAGAAATTTTTCTAATATTTTCGTTCCGCTATTTCATTATGGGAGCAAAACGTGTGATTTTGATTTTAGATATTTTTAAAACGTCTATAATGTATTCAGCAGATAATATTTAAAGACTACTTGTATTACAATGAAACGAAATGTTTTGTATATCTGGTAGAAAAATATTATGAAAACATGGAGGTAATATTATAGAAATATTATAGAGATAATATTCTAAAGTAAACGTTTGGCAAATATTTCGAATGTCTGTTAAACATTTACAAAATGTACGATATTCGTTAAATATGTAGAGAATATAAAAGAAATATTTTGTGCTACTAGGGAATCTGGTGTTGCCCATGTACATACTTCCGCTAGGGGCTCGGATTTACCGAGATAAACCCCTAAAGGGGATTACACCCCATTGAAAACGTGGTAATCGAATATTTAGATAATGCGTAGAGCGTAGATCTGCCCTGGGACAGCAGTTGGCCTTGCACATCTCCGTAATGCGACTAACTCAGTTCCGGATTCAACTAATAAAGGAAGTCCTCATAAATAGGTGTTTTCAATCAAATTCTCCCTTGCGCTTTCGGTTTTGTAAAACGCAGAACGGTGTCGCACGCGTTGTAGAGGGTTCTACCGTACTTATGTGTATTACCTCCTGCTCACAAAATAAAGATTTATATTCCTTGATCCGTTCCAGAATTTGCCGAGGAGTAAAAGTTTTAGTTTAAGGGGATGTGAAACTGGCATCCGAAAGCTCAATCGTTCATAAAACTTTTCTACGAACTGGGTGTCTCAAATCGTTTCATACTTTAAAACGTGAATATGGAGACCCTAAGGTAGGTCCTGAAACTCGCGAAATTTCATTTTTTATAAACTATTTTTAAAATACCCGTGAACAAATTTTAAAAGAATTGAAATTTCATGAGTTTCAGGACCTTCCTTATAATCTCCCAATCCACGTTGTAAAGTTTCAAGCTATTCGATAAATCGAGTTGGGAGGAAAGTTTTATAAACGGAACCTCTTCGACGCCAGTTTCATATCACCTTAATATCGAATGCGATGGTTCGGGAAGAAGTAAGAAGAAAGTGGAATTTACCGGGCCAAAAGTAATTCTTTTTTCTCTCTTAAGTTAACAGAAATACGGACTCTAATTGTGCAATCGTGTAACAGGTTCGACCTCGTGGCTACCAAGCGGCAGACTGGACAGCGACGGGGACGACGACGTAAAAGCCTCTCTCCAGGATTACCAGCCTTTTGCGAAGTCACGACCTTCCGACAGGGATTCCGGCTTTTGAGGCTGTTATTACAGTGCTATTCCTAGACCCTCGGCCGCTATGTGGGTGTATCGAGTACATACGTAAACTCGAGTAGATCGGGTTAGCGAGCTCTTAGCCGAGTTTCCGATAGAGTACGGCAATACGAGGAAAACTCTTATTTGTGGATTATCTGTCCGTTACGACACCGCAAGGTGTGTTGGGGTTTCGCGTGTACTAGAACTTTTTTTTCCAACGAACATCCGCGGGCTTTCTGAGAGGTCTACGTACGACTCCCTGAATTTCACGGACTCGAAATCGTTTTGAAATTGTACCTACTATCGGACGAGCGTGCAAACTATTGCAATTCTGCAGGACAACGATATCTCAAAAAGCACTTCACCGATCGGCTTGAAATTTGTAGGGCTTATTCTACACATGGAGGAATGCCGAATGAACGGAGGATTCTTTTCCTTTTCTATGAAAGCTTGCTGTTTTATTAAGGAAAAACGAAAATGCTATAAGACGAAGAAACTGATTTTTCAGTAAAACCACTGTCATTTTGGTAAAAATCGGAATTGAAAAAATCCTTCGTTCATTCAGCAGTCCTCCATGTGTAGAATGAGCCCTAAGAATTTGAAGGCGATCGGTGAAATACTTTATAAGAAATCTGCACTGCAACTGCATTTTCACTGCAACAAAAAAAGAAACCTTTTCGGAGAATTGCTGTACCTCGCCAATTTTTAAATATATCTTGACAAAGAAAAAAAAAATGATATATTAGGTCCAATAATTGTACTATGAATTCACGCTCTGTTGTCGATTAAAAAGTGCATTTTAGTTACGAAAAAGAATTCTTGAATTTCGTCTATGACAATTGCATATAACCCCTTAAGGTGAAGTGAAACCCCATTCAAATCAGTCGACTCGAATACAACACTTTTTTTTAAGGGTATTGGACCAAACTATCCGAAACTTTATCACATGACTCGTAATCATTTAAGAATTATCCTGATACATTCAAAATTTGGATTTTTGGAAAAAATTTTGTAACAGTCCAGACCAGAACCAAAATGGCGTCGAGCTCTCATATTTCGATCCATATACAATTATCGAAGGCTCTGATATGAGAAACGAAAGGGTTAGGACAATTTTACGACAATTTAGAACACTCTGGTAATCGATAAACTCGCATTTGAACGTGATTAAGGCAAAAAAAGTGTTTTATGCGCTTCTATGCTAAAACGATGGGAATACGAGATCTCGGAGTGAGAATTTAATTGACCTGGAAATCATAGATGGCGCAGGGGGTCCCTCTGCAGTCAGTTACCCACTGAACACTATTACATAACTGTTAGGTAAATGTTACGTTTTCGAAGTTAATGTGTTATCTAGCATAAAAGTGAAATGGAAGATAGATGTTTGTTATTATTTCCCACTCAATAAGATAACATTAATGTTATAAGTTCAGTTACCTTAAAATAATATTAATTTTTCAAACATTTGATAAAAAAATAATGCAATTTTATACAAAAATTATGTAATTTTTTATTATTTCGTGGCACTTGGCAATAGTTAAGTATTATATAATAAATCAGACTTTAAACGAAATTATGTGAATGATAAACTATCTGATTTTATTTAAAGATGATTCCATTTGACTAGCAAACAATTACTGATAATGTGTACGCGAGTATGAATCAAAATCATTTTTCCATACGAGTAGTAATCAAAATATGACATATAGTAATCTTATGACATTTGACGATGAATTATGGCAATGACGATGACGATGATGTAATAAAATAGATGGCAGCACCAATGTAGTTCTGTTATGTTACAAATATGTACTGCATATATACAGTAATATCAGGACGGTAATATAATGTTAGATAAGAGTAACAAAGTTACGTTACATTTATATAGATACGATAGTAACAAATGCTATGTAACCTGTTGGCTCCATGTTACATAACTGTTAAGTTACTGCATTGTAACAAATGTCATGTAACTAGTTAACTCTATGTTACGTAACCGTTAGGTTATTACATTGTAACAAACGTTATTATATTTGTTAGTTTTAAGTTACGCAACTGTTAAGTTTAGTGTTTAGTGGGTAGAGCCTCTGAAACCATGAATCCTGGGGATTTCTAGAGTTTTTCTTCGATTTCTTTATAATTATTGTACGAAATCGACAGGTGGAGTATGCCATTTAGTACAATACCGAATATAATTCGACCCAGCTGTAGATATAAAAACGAATGTCAGCAACGTAGGTATTTAGAAAAATCTTCTTTATCGACGTCGATCAAGTTCCTCGACGTGTTTCACTTCACCTTAAGACAGCGCTATTGCGCCCGTTCGCTATTTTTCGACATTGTTTCTTCAATGACCCCCGGGATTCAAACGATTAAGTTATGGTGGGCCTTATTACCCCAAGGTACCTTATACTCATGTGAATCTTGACGTACAATGACTTCTGCAACTTTATCCAACTTTCTTGCAATTTCAGAATGTCTCGTA